TAAAATAAAATAAAATAAAATAAAATAAAATAAAATAAAATAAAATAAAATAAAATAAAATAAAATAAAATAAAATAAAATAAAATAAAATAAAATAAAATAAAATGAAATGAAATGAAATGAAATAAAATAAAATAAAATAAATTAAGTGAAATAAAAAAATTATATAGGTTATGATTAAATATATATAAATAAAATTGAAAATAAAAGAAAATGAAATGAAATGAATTAAAATAAAAACATTGTGGGTTTAATAGCTTTCGTTAAAAAAAGATAAAATAAAAAGGCTGCTTTTTGGTTAAAAAATTACAAAATAATTAAATGTATTTAAAACTCATATTCGATTTCATTGCACCAAAAATTAAAGTTTAATTACTTATATTACATATATATATGTATATATATATATATATATTCGCAGTTTTCAAATTTCATCGAACGTAAATTCAATTTCAATATTCTAACATAATTGAAGTCCAAAGTTAGTTTCTGACGTCATACAACGCTACTTAACTTGTAAAAGTATTTTATAGTAGTCTGTCTGTTTCATAATTATATGTATATGTGTGTATGCAACGCTGTATGTTAATACCCTTTCTAGGTATTTGAAATAGTTGCGAAAATACAAAATAAGCGACATAAAATCGATAATGAAACGCTTACACATTTAGTTGTCGTAGGCTTTCCTCATTAGAGAAGACATTCGAATACCTACTACTTCTCGACATGTACGATATGTTTGCATAATATGTACATACATATGTACAAATGTACTTTCCCGCGCACTTTTAGACAAATTGTATGTAAATAGTGTTTTAAGAAAGCCTGCATTTTGAGGCTTTATTTCGGGTGAATGAGCTTGGAAACATTTTTTTATTTTCACATTCGATTTTTAGACCATACACGTACGTACATATGTATGTGTGTACATATGTACGTATGTAGTTATAGTTGTTTTACCGTTGTTTTTAATGGCCTATGATTAATTAGTAGCACATTAGACAAGAGTTACATGAGAAAATAAATATGTATGTACATGTATTGAAGAATACCTATATGCAATTACACACATATGTACATGTATTTTCGATCGTATAAAAGGTTCGCTAAACTATAGGGGAACTTTCGAAATCTCTTGAAAATCTGTCTTTAGTATTAGGTCGATATATATATTATATCATTATCACTAGATATTTTTAAAAAATAAATGCTTTGAGCAATTAAGACCTTTTTTACAATATATTTGAAAATTTAGTCCTTTCCCAAATTAGAGGTATATAAGAAATTTACGCCAAAAGTTCTGTCATTGCAAAATAAGGAACTTAATATACTCGTTTATACATATAGCGGCCGCAATAAAAATAATGATTAGCATTGCGTACTGACATTCGGAAGAACAGGGTTCGAGTCCTCGTTCGACCAACATCTCAAAATGAAGGGCTTTCCAATGACTGATTTTTTTTTTTTTGAAACAGCCTGCTTCTCCAGTAGATGTCACCAGTAAAGACTTTACTAAAGTCGCTAGAGTGACCAATTTCGATTTTTTTTTTAGAAAAATTGAGCAAAATGCACTCCAGCCTCTTTGGCTGATTTCTTCGCGTATCCCAGATTAATACTTAATATACGCGATACAGCCATGGCATTCAAACCCAATTCGCCAATTTTGGACTTCATCAGAGCTATAATGACGTCATCAGTGGAAGATTTTACTCAATCTTCTCGGCGCTCGTTCTCTACGGAAAAACTTCCGGTCTGAAATCTTCGGCACCACTTTGAAATTGTCTTTAAAGACGGAGGAACCGACGCCATATGCAATTTAACATTCACTGAATATTTGTATTGGCTGTAAATTACGCCGTGTATATGCGAGTATGTATATAAATAATATAATACATATGTATATATGTATTTAGAGCATGTAATGGTAATACATAATTTAATATTATTTGTAGACGCCAAAATGGCTGTCATCATATAACAGTAAACATAAAATCGCGTCGAAAGCTAAAAAAAATTCGAAATAACTACTTACATACATACATACATACAAGTATGAAAATCAATAAGCCTCATAACGTAAAACATAAACATATAAATTTGCCCTTTGCCGCATTGCCACTAACCCGCAGACATTGACTTGTTGATATGTGACAAAGGCGCTAGAATAAACAACGCTTTGTCTCTACTCACATAAAAAATAATTCGTTTTCATGTTAACCCAATAAACACAACGAATCATTTCGAATGCGAGACGAACTCGATTTCTCCGATAGTATTACTGAGACGATAGTTTGACACGATAGAACGACATTTTGGAACTCGATGCGTGGCCGCCTTTCATTGGTGAGGCAGTAGTATGTATTTCTTTTATTGTCCCAGAAAAGTATTTATAATTTTAAAAGAAAATATTTTCTTAATTATTTACTGTTGCATGAAAAAAAACCCTCAAGTTCGAAACTATTGGCAGTTGAAAGCGAGAGACCGCTAACTACAGCGTATACCAGAGCGCGTGCTTCGAATATCGAAAATTCGAGAACAATTGTTACGGCACTTTCTAGAGCTGTACGCGTGTAATTGGTTGGTATATAGGAGCGAAGACAAACACTGCTACTGGTATGTCGGATGAGTGGGGATAATACAGCTGTAAAGTTAAATTAGTAAATGGTTAGAGTTGTATAATTAGTCGCTGTTTATACTACAGTGTCAGTTGTTGAGAAATAAATAACGCTTTGGTGACTTTTATTATTTTATTTTATTATTATTATTATTATTTTTTATTTTGCTCATGGGGTGTGCGCATAAGTAGTAGATGCGCTGATGTACATGTCTCTTTGGAACTAAGTTGCGTGTATTTGTATTTACGGTGACATAATATCCCTTAAATATCTCAATCGCACACACTGGTCTTGTAAAATATACGTATCTATGTACGTAAAGAACTGATAATCACCGAAGGGTTAAAACGAATACCCACAAGGGCGGTTATGGACTTTGGACGTATTTTCTACATTACCTTAAACGGTAGCAGTGTGGTTGTTTGCCCAGAATATTACGCATTTTATACTTGGCTGCATGAAATTCATTTACCTAACCCAACTCAGATGTAAGAGCACAAAATAAACGAGGTAGGGAAATTGCTAGGAAAAGGAAATATTTTCTTCGTCTCTTCTTCATTGATGATGATTTGATGCCCCCTACCTGCTCCTTCCAAGGGAGTGGAGATCTTCTTCTTCTTTTATTTCCACCAGCAGGTACCGCATCGGTTACTTTCAGAGCTGGTATACTTTCGTCCGCGGTGTTTTCTGTTGCTAATACGCAACGGACCATAAATCTTACGTAAAACTTTTCTCTCGAAAACTTCCAACGTTGTGAGCGAAATGATCGACCGTGGTTAGGATCCCCGGACATAGTGATATCTCAGAAAATTGCGAGGTCTATGAGCTAGCAAGAAAGGGTACAATCCTAATCACGGTAAACTCTGCACGCTATTATTTCCTTTGGTAAATAACTGCTAAGATCGGCCACTGGGAAGTACAATCACAGATGACTGGGTGGCACCACATACAATGTGACCAGGCAGATCTGGTCATTGATCGATATAAAAATAACTAAGTTATATATTCCTTCTAAAGAAAACATCCACGTAGAAAAACCGGCGCAATAACCTAATAATGGCGACTCATGGTAGGCGGTTGGGCAAGGACTTCTGTCAGGAATTAAGAGATCTGGAGGAAAAGGAGACAGTACTAATTTTACCACTGCCTCGTTCTAGGAAATTTCTATATTGACTGCTTTGCAGATATAGCGTCACCAAAAGTCAATAATCTCGTGTGGTTCATTAAACATACCAAGTGGTTTCAGCATCTACTCAGACAACGAAACGATACCATTTCGTTTTATTAATATGAAAAATGATCTTAACGAAATGATTTTGTTTACTTTCCGCGCCATATCTTTCAACCGAATTGAAGTTGCTAATATTGAGCCGCATAAACTCATCGCTAAAGTAAATGATTTCTTGATATGATAATAATAGAACAATTAAATTTAAACTTTTAACAATCTTTGTTAACGATTTAACATTATTTGAAAACGACTAAACATTATATGTTAACGAATTAACATTCCCTGTTAACGATTTAAAATTCTCTGTTAGCGATTTAACATTCTCTTTTCACGATTCAACATTATCTGTTAATGATTTAACCTCTCTGCTAACGATTTAGCATTCCCTGTTAGCGATTTAAAATTATCTTTTCACGATTTAACACTATCTGTTAACGATTTAATGTTATCTTCTAACGAGTTATTTTCTGTTAACGGTTTAACTTCTCTGTTAACGATTTAACATTCTCTTTTAGCATTTTAAAATTCTCTTTTCACGATTTAAAAATATCTGTTAACGATTTAACATTATTTGAAAACGACTAAACAATATATGTTAACGATTTAACATTTTCTGTTAGCGATTTAAAATTCTCCTTTCACGATTTAACATTCTCTGTTAACAATTTAACTTCTCTGTTAAGATATCTCATTCTCTGTTAACGATTTAAAATGATCGACAGCTTTTCGTTTCGCAATAAAATTTATTTTGATAAATGCTTTAACCTTAACATTTCCAAATGTTTCAACTGAAACGATAAATTTGTTTTCGATTACAGTGAAATTTTTCGTTACGATGCAGCCTTGCCATAAAGTAATCACCCATATCTTTAAAGTGCATGACAAAACCATAAACGTTTTGCTTGAGTACTTCTGCGGCAGCTTACTGAATAGGCCAAGAATAATTCAAATTTACAGCATACTTTTAGGCGCACACAAAGCCTGCCTTAACTATTAAAATAAATAACAAAAGTATTTTGTTGACTATGTGTTATTAATATGTGAATGTATACTTTATTGAATTTATATATACATAAACAAGCTTTTACACATACATATCTACATAAAAAAATATTTAATTATATGCAATTAATTTGTTTACTTTTTCTTTGCAGATAAAACGAGTTGACGGAATCCCCAGAAGTGCCATTTAGAGTTGAAGGACCGAATTGAAGAATTGAGACCAAAGGAAACAAACTGAGGGAGATTTATTTAGTGAATAAAGTCTTTTTTATATTAAAGAAGAAGAAGAAGCGGACAATAAATCTAAGCAATTAAATAGGAAACACTCGCACTTGCACTTATATAAAAGAAATATATACGTATATATATATACACAAATATAAACACATTCTAACAAACGCACGCACTGAGTAAACAATTTTGAAAGTTAAATTGTTAAGAGAATTAATCGATCGCTTTGCAAAGTAGCCGCAGTATTGGCAGTAATTGAATAAACAAATTAAGCAATACTAAAAATATACACGAGAGACTTTCCAACGGGTCGGACTTACCATATTTATAGGATTTAGTAGATTTAATTATATAAATACATACAAAAAAGAGATTTCCACGAAATTCATACAAACCACGAATTTGTATTTTTTGTATGAAACATATGAATTAGAAGGTAAAAAATGGCAGATAAATACACAAAAACGACCTCCAGCAGCGTGTTAGACGCAAAAGCTGACAAAAGAAGTGCCCCACATATGCTAGCGACGCGCCCGTTGCCCGGCGACGTCGCCAGTCCGGGCGCTAATCCAAAGAATGTACACATCCTCACACAGCTGGCCAATAGTTTGAGTGAAAGCTACCAACTGGTCAAGCAGCGACAACAGAAATACAAAGAGCTCAGCTCGAAGATGGGCGGTGCAGATGCACCACAACTCCTAAGCTACACACAAGACTGCGAGGACGATGGCCAAGCCGGCGAATGGCAGGAAGTGAAGAATAAGCTGAAGCGCAAGAAGAAACTCTCGGCTTCGCTGACATCCGTCAATGACTCTGTGAACCAGGAGAAGCGCACACGTATCGAGGGTATACAGCTTAATTGCCGTGGTAAGTTGCAAATCACCGAGCTGCCGACACCGGTGCCACAAGCAGCCACGCGCAGTTACGTTGGTGGGGGCGTGGCACAACGTGCCGAACGCTGGGGTGGTGCTAAATCGGCGACGAATACGACCTCGAATGTTGCGCCAAATAAACAATTGAACGCCGTGTCGCCGACAACATGCCCAACAGTAGCCACAGGCGTCACACCGACAGTAACAGCAGCAGCAGCGCCGCCGCCGCGGCTCAAGCGAAAGCTGCAGGAGAACGTGCAGACGATACAAAAGCTGAATGCGCTCACCGAGCAACTGCGACTGGAGATCAACGAACTGAAGTCCAGCCTAACCACCGAGCGAGGCGCGGTGCGTGTGTTGCGGTAAGTGTGCTTTTGAAAATTAAGAATCTCGATTTTTCTCAAAATTTCCCTTAATTGCAGTGCACAAAATGAGTCGGAGACACGCAAATGGAAAAATGAAGTGAAGAGACTACAAAACGCTGTAGAAAATTTGAAGAAGAGCAGCGCCTTGCCGCAGTTGGGTGGTAAAAAACCGACAGATGCTGGCATTGAAAACTTACCAAGTGCTTCCGCGGCTGGTAACGCGACCACCAATGAAGTACAAAGACTGACAAATGAAATTATTGCGCTAAAGGAAGCAAACAAAGCCTTAGAGGAAAAGAAAATGGTAAGTGGTAAGAATTCACGCTTTGCATGGGCTCTCCAACTAACAGCATGAATGGAGTTTTTCCAGCATTCTGGGTTTTTTGTTGTGCTTTTTCGGGGAAAACTTGAGAATAAGAATACTTTTTTTGGCGTCTTCTCGGAAAGATTTAATTTTTCTTCACTTCCGAATGAGTCAAAACCTTCTCGGCATCGTGCCGTTGAAAGGTCTCCCATATCAGAGTCACAAATGCCACGGTCAGTCCAACGAACCAGATACCGAAAGCTGCCTGAAAATGAAATAATTTGAGCACGATCGGGTCATCGTCATTCATTACATCGCGTATGGTTTTCTTTCCTGAATCTATGAATGCTGCATTCATGATGCTCTCCCAGTGTGCATTATAGCCGTATTCATGTGAGCTGCGTATCAGCCTGTTGATGAAACCCAAGTAAGGCGAGCCGTAGGGCACAATGTACACCGCATGAAAGGGTACCAAGACTGTAGACATCACATGGTAGAGTGGCCTACCGCGTAATGAATGTATCCGTGCGTTGGCATAGTACGTAGCGTAGTGATATTTCTGCACATAAGCATAGGAGAGATTATTCTCCTTAATGCCAGTCAAGAGCTCTTCGTCGGGCACAACAACTATTTTACGCTTAATAATTGCCTCGTACGGATCACTGACGTCCAGGAAGCGATCCAAATGTTTCGTGTGTCTGGCGAAAGTTAGCAAATCATATGGCGACTCAGCCAATTCCTTCAGCGTGTTCACATCATTGAGATAAGTGCGAAAGACGAGACTACTTGTGAGATTGCCCTTGAAAGCATTGCAAATCAACATGCCATAGAAGAGCCAGAAGAATATAAAGATGCGCAACGGCGTGCCGGTTGGGATCCTTGTCAATGGCATTGTTAGTGTGCACGCAAATAACTGAAGCAGCGAAAATCCCGTCTTATTCAGATGCTGGTGTATTAGATTACAGAAAATATAGGCCAGTGGTATGGACAGCAATATCGAGAACCAAACTGGCACTCTGAACGAACGAAACAGATTCCAAAATGTCGTCGCCATTTTCGCCTTCGGCACCAACGCGTAGAGGCTATCGAGTCCATGCACGAATGTATACTCGGCGTGTTGAGAAAATGACGGCGCCGAAAGAAAACGTATGTTAAACGCCACATCGTCTATGCCCTGTGTGATCTCCTTGAAACAAATGTCCGCTCTTAGTGTGAAGTTGCCAAAGCGGCTGACACGGTGTATGACGCGTGTTGCGTTCAAACGCTCCGCTACGAAACTCGATAGCAGACCATCACTACCCGTTACCTGCTGGTCATTTTTGTCATCTTCGAAAATGGCACGCACCACGTCGTGATACATGCAGACGCGTAACGGTTTGCCACCCATATCCGGCAGTTTGGTGGGAAAGAGTTCGGCCATACCGGGCAGTGTTTGGTTATCCAATTGAACACGTATAAGAAACTCATCGGCGAAGGGATTATATCGATAGACGTGGAGTTGATGGTCGCGTTGAAACATAATCACGATATTGAGGAACCAGATGCGCCAGAAAATCATAAAGGTGCGACGCAACCAAGCATCCGTCACTGTATCAGAATTTTTAATGAGCATAATCACGTGCGATAGATGTTTAGCGGTGGAATTTTTGCGTAGTATCGCTAGATCCACACGTTGCTGGGCGTCTTTGAAGATCATCACCAGATACATAAGTATGCCGTCATTTTTAATCAGCTCCAAGGGCGCAGTTTTGACGCGATTTCTGTTTGAAGGAGATAAGTGAATGTTAATGTTTGGGTAAGAGATTTGTACATAAAGGGTTTTCCAATTAGAGGTGCTATTGATTATTTGAGCTAAACGACCAGCTGTCTACTACAATCTAAAGAGGAAGATAAGCCATTAATAAAGGAATATAATATCAGCCAAATGACCGCCCCGGCTACACTGACAGAACCGTATCCTTTTTATGAAGTTTACCTTCACAAAATCGCAAAGTGGCTGCTATATGCTCTCAATAGCTTCACAAACTCCAGCTTTTTAGTCTTACATCGCCTTTGGTTTCTTGGTGTAGCCCTTGTCTTTCGAGAGATAACACGAACTTGAATGAGTTTAAATGTTATCTGGCTCAGCACCGTGAAAGTCCGGCTACACAGAATCACCAATCATAGCGCAATCCACCAAACGTAACTGTTGCTCCAGTCTCATTTTCGAAATAGTAAGATCCAATGACCTCGCCGCACCATAAACCGCAGCCATCGAGGTGGAAATGGGCCTCATCAGTTAAGGCAGTTTTTTGTTGAAATTCTGGATAATTTTCATACATTTCAAGTGCCCAATCAGTAAAGGCACTACGTTGAGCTTGAGTTATTTTGCAAAGACCCAAGTTTTTATGCGAAATACGGTGTAAGGACGTTTGTGGAATGTCCAAATCTAAATTACGAAGAGGACTGGACAAACCTGGAGTTTCTTTAACACTTTAAGCTACAGCTACAGTATTCTCAGTTGTTCTTGAGCGACGTGCACTTATTTTATTCTTCACATCACTAACTTGCTCTGTATTTCGGTCCGACGAGGCGCTTCGTGATTGCAGTTTTACGAATCGTTTTTGCCAGGTCTTCACTATATTTATAGCGATTCTTTGAAAATTTCATTGCCGTGTTGAAGCGAAAGAACAGGCTATTCAAAATAACAACTCTTATTGGATAACCCTTTACGTGTGTACTCGTATGTGAATGCCACATTTTTACCGCTATTACATAACATACCTTAGGGTTATGTACGAAGTACCACAATCACTTAAATACCGCAACATCTCACCCGAGTAACCGGAGGTGGTGTGATTCTCAAAGTAGACATAGACAACTTTTGTATGGAAGCTGCACAGAATTGTGCTGGCATTCTCAATAATTGTGGTATTGATAGTAGAGTCCTCCGGTTGAAGAATATCCACCAACGACTGTGTTGCAAGTCTACAAATGGCGGCCAAGCCAATGAGTATGTACAAAAGCGAGAGTGACGACATTACCCGTGGACGAGCAGAAATAAGCGGCGTAACTGTTGACCCTCTGCGGGTGGCCAAATGTTTTTATAGACGGTTGGATGGCATACAGCTGGCGGACAAGACGCAAATGGCAAATGAATTAATGGAATATTTTTTTACAAATACAAAGGCAAAAGAAAATATTTGTGCTCACATTAAGCGCTTATTGTTATTGGAATGGAATTGATGAAGGCTAATGTCATGATTAATTTCATTAATGTAATCCATTTATTGTGCATTTGACAGTTGATGGTGTTGCTATATGTGCATATATGTATGTATGTTTGTATGTATTTATTTTTGTAGCAATTGCTGCAACAACTGCTGGCGTGATATTCTTTAAAAACACATATACACACACAAACATATATAGATTATTATATAATAATATTTTGCCAATGCACATTAGGGTTGGCCAAAATACAAACTGAACTCCACATTTTGGATACTTTTTCGCCTAAAATTGGAAAAATTGCATTAATTAATTTGTAAGGCAAATTTTGTTTCAAAATATCATTTTTTTTTTTAATTTATAAGATTTTGCTGCTTGCAATTTTTACTAATTTTTTTAAAACAGTTATATTTTCGTTGATTTTTTTTAATATCAAATCTTTTTTTGCTAGTATTCTTTTATATGGCAACACTTTTGCTACAGAAATCGTTCTCAAATCAATATTTTTCAGAAATTTTCTTTAATATGGCAACACTCTTCCGGGAGAAATCGTTCTCAAACCTTTTTTGCTGATATAATTTTAATATTAGTTAAAGTAAAAAGTTCGTTCGGTTTTTACCTAAAACGTGGCGTTATTGTTCATTGTACTAGGGTTACGTGTCGCTAGGCTCCGTTCCGGTAATTTCGATGTCAAAGATGCACCACGCGTCGGGAGGCCTGTCGTCGAAAATTGCGATAAAACCATGGAAATTGTGGAAACAGACCATCACGTGAGCACTTATTTAATTGCTGAGGAACTAAAATTAAGCCAGAAAACCGTTTGGCACCATTTGCGTAAACTTGAATTCAAAAAGAAGCTCGATGTTTGAGTGCCACACGAACTAACGTAAAGAAACATGATGGACCGAGTTTACATCTGCGAATCGCTGCAGAATCGCAACAAATTCGACCCGCTTACGAAGCGGATTGTGACTGGCGATGATAAATGGGTCACTTACGACAACATAGAGCGCTAACGGTCGTGATCAAAGTTCGGAGAAGCGGCCCAGACGTTGGCCAAGACCGGGTTGACGGCCAGGAAGTTTTTTCTGTGTGTTTGGTGGGATTGGCAAGGAATCATCTACTACAAGCTGCTCCCCTATGGACAAACACTCAATTTGGCCCTTAAGTAAGCCGCTTGAAGGCAGCACTCAGCCAGAAGTGGCCATCTTTGATCAACAGAGGCCGAATTGTGTTCCATCAGGACAAGGCCAAGCCACACACGTCTTTGGTGCCGCGCCAGAGTCTCCAGGAGCTCGGTTGGGAGGTCCCAATACACTCACCTTTTAGTCCGGATCTGGCACCAAGTGATTACTATCTTTTCCTGTCAATGGTGAGAAGTTGGCCGCAAGAGAGGCCTGTGAAAATTGGCCTTCTACGAGAGGGGTATAATGAAGTTGGCATTTCGTTATCATCTTTTGAAAAATCAATAAAAAACCGAACGAGCTTTTTTACTTGACCTATTATTAACACCAACAACAATATCAGCCTTGAAATCCAACGTAAAATCGCTCTTACCAACAGGTGCTACTTTTAGACTGAGTAAGCAAATGAAAAGTAAAATCCTCTCTCGTCGAACGAAAACAAAGCAAAGGGATCCTCGTCATAGCCTTCCTGATAAATGGTGCAGAAGTTTGGTTTTCGAAAAGCCTACGATGTATCGGTATAAGGACTTAGATAGCCATAAGTGGTAGCAGAGGAAAAGTACCTATTTAAATTTTGGACCTGGCCTTAGAAGGCATTAACAATTGCTGCCGTATGGCGAACAGAAGGGCAATCGTTGACTCGGTTATTGGCAATTGGTAAACGATGGCCACAATAATCAAAAAAAAAAGAAGACTTAATAATAAACCCTAAAATGGCTTTAAACTCGAGCGCTGTTAGAAATATTTATTGACCGACTTTCTTGGCGCTATGTCATCGCTGAAGCGATTTTGGATCTGCCTACATACTGAGAGCTTTAGAATAGAAAAGAAAATAAATCTTTCCACCAGCGTAGTTTTATTTAGACCACCTTAAAGAACCGACATACATACATATATGGCGAAAAATAGACAGTTTGACACATATGATGGCAGCTCTGTTTAATTTTTGATTTTAAAGATAATTGTGGCATGCAACACGGCGTTACTTAACATTAATTAAGGGGTAGAATTAAGTATATACACAATATATGTATGTATGTACATGTAAATGTCAACTTCATATAATAAACCTAAGTTTTCACGCGCATAGCCTAAATAGATTGCATGTAAAATATTGTTGTTGTTAAATTTATTTTTAGTTTGCACTTTGCGGGTTGTCTAACTTGCATGACTGCGATTATGTTACTGCTTAGCCGAAATTTTTTTTAATCAAATTTAGTCCTGTGTGAATTACGTTTGCTGTTTTTATGTGCCAACTAATATTGCTCTGCAGCTACCCTCGTTGTGTTTCGTTTTGCGTTCGCTCTTGCATTACTCCGCAGAGAATATTTTACTGACAGTTTTGTAAATCCCGCATAATTGCAGATCAATTGCGATGCTGATAGACGTAAAGCAGCAGATATGCGCACATTGAAAGATACTTATGAAATCCGATTGACTCAATTAACTAAATCTGCCAAAACTGAGATTTCACGTCTGGTAAGTTGAAATGAAGAGAACGCAGCAGCAGGGAAATTTATTTACAGGCTTTCACGAAGCTCATTTTATCGTATAAAACGTATTGAACTCTGGCATTCTATTGTATGTGAAACGCGACATCATCCAAGTGACTGCCTTGCGAGTTTTTGCAAACTTTGATCCCTTTGAAGTAATTTTCGACCACCTTTCGGGCACTTATTAGGCGGTATCTCAGCCATGACTTTAAGGTTTAGCCGCTTAAACAGGGTCCTTCGCGTGGCAACAGAAAAAAATTGTTCAACGGTGTCAAATGCCACGATTTCGGTACCTAAAAACGTCGATGCGATATTACACAGCTGGGAAATTTCTCTCGCAATAAAGCCGTATTCGCTCGCGTTGTGGAAACGACATATTGTTCAAGTCATGTGCGTCAATTGCAGGCTTAAAAAGTGTATTTTCATAGGACCATAACCCAACCGAATTGACAGTGAAGTCTTGCCGTCGTCCTTTTCAGAGAAGTAAGTTCCAATCACACCACCGAACCAAAGAGCGCAACGGACAATATGCTTTTTTTATGGAGGTGTAATGGCCTCTCTTCAATTATTTGTGGATTCTTGGCGCATCAAATGCATTAATTTTACATATATTGGTATATTCCGAGGAGAACTGCGTCTCGTTATCGAAAACATTTTGTTCGAAACATCGCCGGCCAGTGCATATTGTTCAAGCAACCAATCGACGTACGCACTTTGTCAGCTGGCTTCAGTTGCTGTGTTAGCTGGATCTTATATGGATGTAGGTGTAAGTCCAAGTGCAAAATACACCATAATATGCCGTAAGAGGTTCCCAACTCTTCAGAATCGCTCACTTGGGATCCACTTTTACCTCCGTTCAGCTTCAGTTCTAAACACATGTTGTTATATTTCATTTATTTTATCTTTTCTTTTTTTAAATTTGCACATAGGTGGTAGCTCTGCCTAATTACAAATTTTATTTATTATTGTTTCCACTTAAACTCAACCACAAAGTTTCATCAAAACCGGTTCAGCCATTTACAGAAGATTGCTGTATAAAAACATTTTCAAAACTGGTGGCAACTCTGTATTATAAATTTATCTGCTCCTGAGTTTTCTTTTTCTTCGTGCATGTATTCTTTTCATTCAAATTATTTCAGTCACAAAAACGCGTGTCAAGTATTAGTATATATATGAAAATTATTATTGCCACGCCCCTTGTTTCTAATTAGAAATTTTGAAGAAACTCCATTTTACTTCTTTACTGGCGTAGACAACGCTTACGCGAATATAGCCGATTTACAAAAAAGAGCCATTCGTTCGCTTTTTGCTTTGCGGCGCCAATTGGAAATACCAAGTACAACCAGGTCCTTCCCAGCTTGGTCCTTCCAACGGAGTGGATGTTTTCCCCTTCCTCTGCTTCCACCGACGGGTACTGCATCGAAAACTTTCAAAGCTGGAATATTCACATCCATCCAGGCCACATGACCTAGCCAGCGTATCCGCTGCTTCTTGATTCGCTGAACTATATCAATGTCGCCGTATAACTTGTACAGCTCATCGTTCCATCGTCTGTCGTTATTCGCCGTTACCAAGGCGGAAAGGACCATAAATCTTACGCAAAACCTTTCACTCGAAAACTCCTAACACTGTCTCAACCAATTCAACCTTTCAACAAATTTTCATAGTTTAGTTAGTATCGAAGGTGTCACGTAAACCATGGCAGTGATATTCCGAAACACCAAATCGTCACTAAAACTCCACTGCTTATGGAAATCGTGGTACAAGGATTTTACCTTCAGTATGGTTTTTGAGTGAATGTTGAGGGTGCAATTTTCATTGGCCGAATAAAATGCAGTACGTTTCGGTAAAAGGACCCGACCATTGCGTGAACTAATGGATTTCGGTCGCCGCTTACGACAGGCATGCTTCAACGTAGGGCTTACATAGAGTAACCTTAATGGCGTCCAGCCTCAGTTTGCGCTATGGCGATACAAATCAGCCGAAGCGGCATAGAAGGAAATACTTTTCGTGCTGTCTAGGAAAGCTTTCAAATCGATGAACAGCTGTTGCACATCAATCTTTTCTCATGAGTCTTAGCCAAGATTTACAAGTTCTTACGTGATGGGTTTTTATCTTTCACACAGTACGCTAGATAGCACGTTATATGCTATGCGATATAGTATATAGGCAATTGGTATGCTTTGTAACAGCTGAAGCGATTTTCGGACGAATTTTTTTTCCTCGTATTCCTGCAGTACGTATTTCAAAGTTCTCGGCTATTGTAGCCTCAATGAATCGTCGTGTATTTGACTTCATTTTGGTTCGGAAATCTTGACTTAGTTGGCAGACCACTGGCGCCCACTGCTTCGCTGTTTTGAAGACGTCAAATTGCAACTCAAATTTCACTTTCGTCTGTCGATTGGGAACTTGAATGAGGCAGCTGCAGGCGCTGCATATAAATTTCCGGCTGGAGAAATATTTCATCAATGAAATCACATTGTTGGCTCTGAAGGGATGTTATATATGTATATATAATTGGCGCTTTGTAACCGCCGAAGCGATTTTGCGTCGAGCTCCTCCTCCAATTTGTGGTTTTGCGTCTTGATGTTTTTCCAACAAATGGAGGGACCAACAGTTTATACTAAGCCGCCTCTGAACGGCTGTTGGTTTTTTTATGGGGAGAAATTAGAAAATTTATTTTATTATTTAATTAATATTCTAATACTCTTGGATGCTGGTCGCACGGGGACTTGAACCCGAGCCTTCCGAATGGCAGTACGCAAAGCTAACCACTCCATTACCGCGGCCGCCAGTAGGGACGTTGCTAAGGTTAAAAAGCATCAGTGAGCAGCAATAACTTTTTGTCTGACTTAAATTATTATTTTTTGAAGCTGTAATGTAAGTACGTACATATACATACATATACATATACATATACATACGCAGGTATAATGTTAGCTGCTGTTTATTGAGGTTTTATCGCAACAAGACACGAATTCCGTTCTCTCTAGAATTGCTTCTAATAAAACTGAGTAAAGCTTATCAACGTCATAAAAGTTTTTTTTTATATAAAGTGTTTACTATGTACATACATATTTACATGGATTAATGAGTCATGCGTTGAGAAAGGAAATCGCATTTCATGAGCTCCACTTCTTTCTTCGATCAGCGATCAGCGTTATCAATTCGTGTTCTTTTTCTGGTCTTCTAAGCCATTAACATTCTTCTGTGTATTATAATTGGCTATGAATTTCAATGGCTTCTTGCTTGTGTGGCATTTAAGTTGCTGCTGCAAGCGTCGTAGATGAATCATTCAATTTGTGCAACATGTTGCAACCAGCCGGATGTGGGAGTAAACTCAAAGGATTAAAACACGCACATTTTCTGAAATCATTCCTTGAGGAGCGCAAATTAATTTAAAATCCCCTTACTTGTATATATGTATATATATTGTATATAGTATGGCGGCCGCGGTAATGGAGTGGTTAGCATTGCGTACTGCCATTCGGAAGGCTCGAGTTCAAATCCTGGTTTCGTATTAACATCCAAAAAGTTTTAGAAAATTAATTTAAATGAAAAATTTAATTAAATTTTCTAATTGTGGTCGCCACTCGGCAGGGAATGTCAACCCCTCCAAACATATTTCTGACATGAAATAAAGCTCTTCGAAAAAAACCAACAGCCGTTCAGAGCCGGCTTTGTATAAATTGTAGATCCCTTCGTTTGCTGGAAAAACATCAAGACGCAGTACCACAAATCGGAGGAGGAGCTTGGTCGAAAAATCGCTTCAGTGCTGGTAAAGCAGAAAATGATACAAATTTGTTTACCATCATTTGTAGGCTCTTCCATTATCGCCTATCAATAATTGTCGCAAATATGTGAAAACAATTGTCAGCATTTGTTTGCCGTTAAACTTTCGTAGCTGCCAAGTCTACAGCATTAGAGTGCATATACATTTTGTAAAAGCATAAAACTGTAAATTTTTCGAGCCATATGGCACATTGGAGTACTCCAATACGTACTCCTTGTATTATACTATTGGACCAAATCACCACTTGCTATGATCACCCTGTTATAAGCCGATGATTGCTCGTGATTTAACGAACGCAATTACTAAATGAAGATGTATTAATCTTCGTTTTGTGAGCTCTGCTGGCACATGGATTACGTGCATAAGTTTGAGCTTAGATTATATTGTATGTATGCATTCGAAAATAAAAGTTATGAACGATTACCATTTTTTGTATATATATAATGCATAATGTAATCCACTATAGGTACTCCATGGAGTAATTTTTGGATTCATTTCAAATCTAATTTCATGTATGTACTCCATGGATTTCTCGGGATGTGGAGTGAAATGTGGTTAGTTTTGGATTAATCCATAGTCCGCGTGGAGTTAATATTTCATGCATGCATGGAGTAGGCGCGTTGTTCGCAAGGAACTAGCGGTGCGTACATATATATGTGTGTATGTTAATACGTAGCTTCCCCCATTCATTAATTCATTTACTCTTTTAGTAGCACAATATTTGATTTATCGTCTTAGCTGGGCAACAAGTGCTGGCCGCAAGCTAAATTGAAATGAGTGCCAAAAGAAAAAAATAAGCTGAAACATTTTTTCACGTTTTGTTCTACTTTTTATACCCTTCATCTACATGAATTGGTATATTGACTTTAGTACGAAGTATGAGGGATTAAAATATTAGAACCACGTTGCAGTTATTAAGTTCCTTGCCAAGTAGGAAAAATCAGTAATGCATGAAACTCATTGGCATACGGTGACTATTGTTCGGGATAAACCTCGCATATATTATATTATGCAATATTTAAACCAAAGGAAACCCTATGAAGACGACCCGAGGACAGTCAGGAGCATCGTGGTGACTACACCGTAAATTTGAATAAAAAAAATGCTGCTGACCATGCTCCGACCATAAAGCAGAAATAATTCGCAGAAAAGTTTTCGATAAAACTATTTTTAAATCTTGCACGATTATCGTGGCATGACAAAGGTCAGCGCAGAATGTATGCAGGGGATCCTCACGTACACCTGCAATGTACAATATATGGTGGGTTTCGATATTTTGAAACCCCCAACCTACGGCTTGGACTTGGCCCAGAGTGACTATGATCTATTTCCAAAAATGGAAAAAAGCTGAGGGCTAATAAATATGTTCGATGATAAAGCCAAGAGGAGAATTTCGGCATATTTTGAAGATAAAGAGAAATCACTTTTTTTTGAAAGTTTAAATGAATTAGTTGAAAGATCTGCAGGTAAATATATTAAAAAGAAAAAAAAAAAATTGGCATTAATTTCCAAACCGCGAACATAAAAGCGCTCTCTCATATTCGAAGAAGAAAAGATAGACCCGTCAAAATCATGAGTAGGCATAGGGTTTGTCCGTCATCATGAAAGGTATAAAGACTTCGGTGTGGTCGAAGAAAGCACTCCCTTTTTCCTTTTTTATTTTATTTGCCACTGACAAGAGAGTGTGCGATTGAGGGGGTTTGGTTTTGGCTACGATTGCTGAACCAGCTTGTCTTTTCTTGTGCGAATCGCTGGCTTTCTTTGATTTTGTTTTAATCCCAAAGCAATTTGTTTATATGTGAGAATTTATGAGTGGTTTGTTGAAAGAATTTTTGTCGGCAGACAATCTTCCCACGTTTTGCTCTGACCATTCATAAATTCCTTGCAACGAAATGTGCAGAGAATTTATTTATTCAGTTTTTTAAATAATAGATTTATAAAAAAGGCATTTCGGAAATTCAAGCCAATATTCAGGCGTACGACGAAAAGTCAACTCAACTAACGGTTCAAAGGGTTCCTACTTAATTCTAACGGAGCGTCAGTTACCCAACCATAAACATACGTAAGTTTTGTGGATATAAATAAATTCAGATAAAACGGCGTAGATATAGATACTCTTCACGCTGTCTAATAAAAATTTAAATTCAGTGAAAATGTAGTATTTGCCGCTCATTTCCTCTACGGGTCTGGGTCGTTCTTCGTCCCATGTTGAAAATCTAATACACGTTGTCTCTACCAGATTTTAAACTACACTTTTGAGTTTTGATTACCTGTTAATGGGTTTTAATTCTTACAATACATAACATAAAAATTTATATGCGATAATGAGAATACTTGACGCATTCATCTTTTCTCTTGAGTTGAGTCTTACCGTCTTACCTTTTCTTTCGACTTGAAAACGAATTGTTTCTTGGGCGTGTATATACATCAAACATAACTTGAAATGTTGCTGCATTGTTTCCTTACGCTGAGTTTTTAACGAATGCTCTCAGAGAGCGACTCTCCCTCATCGGTTTATTGACGGACGTCCTACTGCTGCTCAGAGGTGAGTGCGAATATTGGTGTTGGCAAGAAAATTTTCAAAGGCGCTGTTAGGACCTTGAAGTGGAAGCACTCTAGTGGTTTGTTGGATTTTTTTTTATCTAGGAATCTCTGGTTTAAGCCCAACATCATTTCTCAAAATAGTACAGCGTAATTCTCTTACCTACTTAGGGTTAGATAGAGAGTTAAATCTGCTTAGTTTATTTCTTTGAATTTAAGGTTCCGATAAACCTTGAAATTATCTTATCGTGTCTAGGCTTTATGACGCTTCGAAGAAAGAACGTTGATAATTTCTAGAAATTTGATTTATATCTAAAGCATAAAATTCTATAATTAACATTAATTCAGGTTTTTAATAATTTCTATTTTCTTTTTACAGCTGGAGGAAATAAAAACCAAAGAACGTAACATTGGGCAACTTAAAAAAGAATTACAAACACTACAGACCCGGCCACAGAGTCAGGCTGAAGTGAAAAGCAGAAATGCAACGACAAATCAAAAAACGACGAATAAAACGACAAAACCAAAGAAAAATAACAATAACAACAATAATAATAATAGTAAGAAGCCAAAAGTAAACAATAAAGCAACAAACAATAGCTTAAACGAAACAGATGCTTTCAACTCCGATTTGGCGAAAAAGTCAGAGGATAGCAGCACTGTAACAACAACAACACATGGAGAAGCTCAACATCCAAATGAGGTTAGTACCGCAATTATTTTATTTTTTATTTTATTTACAACAATTTAAGTAAGGTTTTGAACTGATAAAGAATTGGCGTTTAGACTTAAGACTACGATCTTAACGGTCAGCTAGAAATAATGGTCTAGGAGATTGTAGAAATTGAAACCTATCCTACAGAGTCGATCAATTGCGACTGGCTCGGACCAAAAGGAAAACGGGTTTTAGGGAGCATGCAAAGAGGCGGTTAGTTTCGTGTGGAGGCTCACTGCATGCTGGACATACGTTGGGTATGTCGGGGTCAATTTTGGCTTGGTAGGAGTTTAAACTAATACAAACCAGCTTGAGGCAGTATTAAGCGAGCTTCTAAAGGCAGCTCGACCACTTCGTCTGCAATAGGTAGTGCTTTGACTCCGAGAACGTCATTCAATGGAAGACAGTTCAGAATGTTGTTTGGCGAGCGCTCTGTGAATGGAGTTTAATATCTGTCGGTGAATCGCACTGCCTAGCGATTGAGCAACATAGTTTACGACCGGCTGGCCCATTACCTTGTAGGTATCCAACAACAGGCGCATGCGGAGTGAAAAAGCGCAGGCTGTGGAATGTGATTATCAGTAACTTTGGGTTATTGATGGTCGAAATTGAAAAGATTAGCCGAAGATTTTGTTGGTTGTCCTCGCATTTGCCTTATAGGTGGATAGAAGTGGATGGGGACGCCAAGCTAGCAGTTCACTTTCGAACATAAGTCATCAATATTCCGGCCAGACGTCCATTTCGAATAATCGTCGACATATGAAATCAGTAAAACCTACTTCAGTAGAGGAGGGAGTCTCGATGGGAAACTCCAACTTTCACGACAGCCGGTTCTACACACCGGAGTTGAACCGAATTTTAACCGGCAAAGGGCTGTCATCCTTTCGATGATTAAGTCAGCAAGCAACATTAGTCTCTGAAAATTGTCATGCAGGATTGCCACTTAATTGGAATTATATTTGAAGTTTAATAAAAAAAAAATGATTGGTAGTAGAAATCTTATTAATTTCGAGATTGCTGAGAATAGTGTTGCCACTTAATTTTTTTTTAATTCAGCAATTCATTAGCTGCCGGTTGCGGTAGTCGAGTGGTTAGTACTGAGAATTGCCATTCGAAAGACTCGGGTTCAAATCTCCGTGCAACCAACATCCAAAAATTTATAGAAAATTAATTTAAATAAAAATGAAGCTAATCTTTCTAATTGCGGCCGCCACTCGGGAGGTAATGTCAATCCCTTCGAGTGTGTTTCGGACATGAAATAAAGGCTCCTCATTAAAAAACCATGAGCCGTTCGGAGGCTATACTGGATGCAATCCTTCATTTGCTGGGAAAACACCAAGACGCAAAACCACAAATTAGAGGAAGAGCTCAGACTTGCCAAGAATATACGGGCTTGCCAAGAATATACGGGCTTGCCATTATGTTTTCAAATAAAAAAAATCCCCTCTTGGATGCAATTGGGGCCGTTTGTTAGCAAAAGCACGTGGAATAGTCTTTTCCAAGATGTCAATCGTCTCGGACCCCACAATAATAGACTAAAAGGAAACTCTCGTCATACTCGAGATTGCGTGTGGAAAGAAATATTGGCTTGGAACTAAAATCTAGTGTTGGAATTACGAGCGTAACACTAAACATTTTACATTGATTAACAATATAAAACAAACAATAATTTCAACTCAAAATATTTTTTATTTAATTACCAATAAAATGTAAAACTTATTGCTTTAAACAAGAGATATGAAACGGTGAAAGTCAGCGCATTGCGAAATCCACTTAATTTTATTGGGTTAATAAACAAAACAGAGAGTGAGAGAGAGAGAGAGTAAGATAGAGAGAGAGAGCCTGAATGGTCAAACTTTGTTAAATTCTTGTTTATCATAATTTTAATGTGTCAACTGGTGAAACCGAAGCAAATCTAATCTCAATCGTTTTAATTAGCATAATTAACGTTCTTTCACTTGCTCTACGATACTAATGCTCCATCTCATGCGCCACTTTGTTGAATTAATATCATAATTATTTTAAATTGAATTATAGACTTTTCTCGGTCAGGCCACATAGAATTATGGTTTTTAAGCGTCAGCGGTTCCAGCTAACAGCTACATACTTACATACATACATATGTACAGTGTTGGCAACGAGCTGTGGTCAAAGGCAGTGCGATCTTTGTCTTTGTTCTTGTATACCTTATTTTTTTGCATATTTTTCGCATTTAGTCTCTGTGGTGTCAACAAAAAGGGAAACGAGTGGCGTAAATGACTGCAACTGAGATTATGCGAGTGTAATTTGCTGATAACGTGACCATGAATACTTTTTTGCATCCTATCTAACCAACAACATCACGAGCTTGAACAAAAATTAGCGATTGGCCTTGAGTTGGTTCTTAATTTGCTTTACATTGTAATCATTGTTATTTTAACAGTTATTTGAAGAGGCGATTCTATGACGAGAACATAAACAACATTCAGCTTGGCAAGTAAGTGTCTTAGCCTCTTCTTCTTTCTTCTCTGCTGGCGTAGACACCGCATATGCGATTATAGCCGAGTTAACTACGGCGTGCCATTCATTCCTTCTTTTCGTTTTTTGGCCATGCTCTTGTCTACCTGGTCTTTCCAACTGAGTTGAGGTCTTCCTCTTGCTCTGCCTCCACCGGCGGGAACTGCAACGAAACTTTCAAATCTGGCGTTTTCCTATCCGTCCGGACCATCTGACATAAGCCTCTTGATTCGCTGAACTATGTCAATATCGCTGTATATTCCATCGGCTGCGGTATTCCCCTTTCCCTACGCGTAGAAGACCATACATCTTACGCAAAACCTTTCTCTCGACAACTCCCAACGCCGACTACTGAGATGGTCTAGGACTCCGCACCATATAACAGGACGGGAATGATAACTGACTTGTAGAGTTGGGCTTTTGTTCGTCGAGATACAATTTCAACTGTCTACTCGGTCCAAAGTAACAGCTGTTGACTACAATGATTCTCCGTTGAATTTCAAGCCTAATGACTCAGAAGGTTTCAAGAGCGTAGCTTTTTCCTGTAGGAAAGTATCACTGATAGCTGACGTTCAGAGTGTACAGAGTTTTTGGAGGGAATACTTCCCCAGGTTGCTTAACTGTAATGAAACACCCAGAAAAAGCGAACCTAGAATCCACCCCCAATCGATGGTGCAAGCGTTTCATTACTCGACTGTGGTGATTTTCGAATAACGGTTGCTTGCTTAAAGAAAATCAAGCTGCGAGGCCGTTGGCTTGTCAGCTGAGTTATTATAGTGGGATAAGCCTACTCACTATCGCATTTAAGATCTTATTGAGCATACTGTACGAAAATCTTAAGCCCGCCATCAACGAACTGATCCGACCTTACCATATCATCCGCCAAATCCTGGAAAAGGGCCATAAGAAGAGGATCGATACATCACCTTTTGGTCAATTTGAAAACATCATTTGACAGATCGAAAAAAGCTACCTTTACGCCGCTATGACTGTCAGGAAGAATCTCTCCGAGTCGTTCAATACCAAGTGCCACTTTATGGTAGGTTTGTAGTCATAAGTCCGGTATCGTAGACAATTTCGTCTATCTAAGAAAAAGTATCAACACTAAAACCAATCTTAGCCTTGCTATTGGCAATAACCCCCCTACTGGCATTTATTAAAAGTTGAACCTCCACCTAGGCACATTGGGAAGACTCGCTTACGACTAAATCAACTCCATTCAGCGCTATAAACAAGAACCGTGGAGCAGTACGCAAACATCTTTCTGAGCTCTCTAGTGAATGGTCTTCTCGAAGGACTCGAGTTGCCTCACGAGAGCCGAGTATTCCTGGCATAATTAAGATCTGGATATTGTAGTCAAATGAATTCTTACAAATCTAGACATGACCACGACCAATATAAAGTATTTCCTTCATGCAATAAGAGCCCTCACAACACTATCCACCTTTTTTCATGCCACCTAAAACCTACTTATCTAACCCCCCTCTTCACCTTGGTTTCGAACTCTTCGAAGCAGTTCGTTTCTGAAACTAACGCTAGATGATTTCGATGACTTAGATTAGTCAACGTCTGCTCATAAGCGGAGTTGAAGTACCGCAACAACAACAACAACAAAATAAATTATATGCTATGCTCGTGAGCATTCAAATTAAAAATAAGTTGTTTGTCCATTTGTATGTATGTATTTTGGTATTCAATATTTCCATTGTCTTTTTTTTTTGTTCGAAATATTGATGTACCTGGACCTACGGCGGAGCAGGCCATGTTTAAACGATTTTGATGACAATGTAGCCGTCGACATATGTACATATATATAATATAATGTGTATGTATACACAAAGCGTTTGGCCAAGCACCTTTTACACCTACATACGTATGTATATATGTATGTATGCATGGAGGTATTCAAGTAAATACAATACAAATTTTGTTTACCGACTTTTGATTTTGTTGGCCAGAACGGAAATGACCGACGCGTAAAATTCTGGCACAAACAAAAGTGTTTTTTTTTTTTGATTTTTGTTTTGTTTTTGTTTAATATTTTTTTCTTTTCAATATTTGTCTTGAATTTTAATAACGGTCATTGAACGCATACATATATGTATGTATCCCTATTAACTATAAGACTGTATATATTCTATGGCGGATTAATGGAGAGTGAACTATGGCAGCAGTTCATGATCCGAAAGTTAAATGAAATATTGCCGTAGCAGGTTAGGTTAGGTCTTGGGGAACCTAAAAAACTACGTAGTAGTTGCACTTTTCCCATCTGTTTTCATAGAATACGCTTCCTGAAAGAGTATCATACTTCAGTTGGCTATTTTAGCGATAATAGACTTTGCGAAAAATCCGTTCCACTGCTCTTCGAAATGCCTAGAGAAACTAGATCACTCACCGGTTGATTCTTTAAACGGATTAGAGATCCTCCCTTTCATCTGCTACCGTTGGCGCATGCTGCCTCAAATACATCCGAAGCCTTAGCAGTTCTCCCTTTAATCCCTATGTGAATGATGGCTGATTAGTACATCTCTCTCTTGGAAACTCTTGGTGTGGAC